AGTAATAAGCCTTTTCCATCAGAGAATTACATGTTAATCCATCATTTATAAACACCTTTTCAAATAACTGTTTAATCATTGTTTTGTCAGCATCAAGGCTTGATAAACTTTTGGTTTCAGAATCATAATCACTTTCTTCACTATTTACTAATTCATTATTTATAGATTTACTAGAATTATTATCATTCACTTTACAATTTGCTAGTTCATTATTATCATAATTACTTTCTTCACCACTTATTAATTCATTAATTATAGATTCACTAGAGTCATCAACATTCGCTTTACTATTTGCCAGTTTATCATCATTATAATAATCACTTTCTTCACTATATGTGAATTCACTATTATTGCTGCTTTTTTTACTATCTATTAATTCACTATTAATATCAGTATTTGTATAAAATAAATTTTCCCAAATTTCTGAATCCGAATATTGCATATTTTGGTTTAATGAATCATCAGTATTATTCCCAATATGTTCGCTATTACTTGATTCAATTTCACTACTAACTCGCTTTTTACCTTTTGATTTTAATCTGGTAACTATGAATTCAGACTCAGAGTTATTTTCTAATTCTAATTCATTAATTGGTTGTAAAGAAATTTGCTTTTGAATTCCAAAAAGGTTTTCTGCATTATAAAATGATGATCCGCAAGAATATTCAATAGTATCCAAAAATGCAAGTAGCAATTTTTTTTCTTATTCATTTAGTTTTTGTTTGGAATAAAACAATCACCATCTTTCATATTCTGAACACATAACTGTTACTCCAACATTTTTTGCTCTTTGTGCTGTACCATTAATGGCATACTATTTTTATTTTTTAATTTTGTTTGAAATTTTTTGTTATTATTATTTGTAAGTGAAGGTCGATAAATCTCAGTAGTATTTTTACCATATACATCATCTAAAGAAGCATAATGATCATCTTTTCCTGGAATTAGATCTGTAAAATGATGAATTTGGTCAAAAATATCTTGTGTAAGCCTTATAGGCTCACAAATATCACACTCTTTTTTCCCACACTTCTTTATTGAAAAAAAATAATGCCGTGACTGACAACAATGCTCAAAAAATGCATTAAATTTTGGCTATTAAAATAAGAAAATATTAAATAAAAATATAATAAAAACAT